AAGATTGACATCTCTAAGTGTAGGGGAGTCGAAGAGGACTCCCTCTTGAGATGGTGCGTCGAATTAGACGACTCCATAAGGGCGCGTCGCATCGACGATGGGGAAATGCAAGTTGCATTTGCTTAGTCAAATCTGGCAGGACGTGCCAAGACTTGGGCACTGGGGCTCAAGTTGCACGACCCATATGCATTTGGGTCGTTGGAAGTCTTCAAGTCGCGGCTCAGACATACGTTTGAACCGCCTAGAGCTGAGTTCAGAGCTCGAACCGAACTCTTGAAGCTCAAGCAGGGTAAGCGTGATGTGCACGCTTACGCGCAACATATACGACATCTTACGAGTTGTATAAGTTCCAATCCGGTGGATGAACACACGTTGGTTTCGGTGTTCATGCAGGGTCTTGCGGATGGTCCCGTCAAGACTCACCTGTTCCGAATTGAACTAGATTCACTAGAGCAAGCCATTTCCATTGCGGAACAGGAAGACTTCAGTCTGAGACAGGCTCGCGCCAGCTCGACATCATATCGTCAACCGAGACGAAATGACAACGGAGGTCCAGAGCCGATGGAACTCTGTTATGTAGAGAGCGAGAAGGTTCGCTCTACAGCCTACAAGAAGTTGCAGAGATGCAACAGGTGTCAGAAGACAGGACACTACGCTTACGAGTGTAGTGCCCCTCGTCCAGTGCCTCGCAACACTGGGCGTAGTGACCGTCCACCCATGAGAAAGGGGCAGGGAAGCGGGTCCGCTGTTGGTGCAAAGACGCAACAACGGGATGGACCGTAAAAAAAAACGGACAGGATCAGTAGGTGCGGAGCACCCTACTGGTCCAGCAACGTCAAGAGAATTTGTAGGCCTCTTGATGAAGGTTGCTCTCAACACACAAACGTTGTGCGTTGCTGCTCTAGGTAATGAGATCTCACTCCTTATCTTGAAACTCGAAGTGACAGGTAAGTTGTCCCTTCGAGCTCTAGTCGATTGTGGGGCGTCCAACAATTTTGTGCGACGCCAATCGCTAGAAGATGGTCACTTTAAGTTCAGTGAATGTGACACACCTCCTACGAGGATGACGGTACGTCTTGCGACAGGCGCATCCGTAACCATCATGAAGCGTATAGTGAAGATCCACTATACGCTAGAAGATACCCAATATGACGATGACTTTATCGTATTAAATTTAGATGACAAATTTGATGTCATCCTTGGAATACCGTGGCTCAGAAGGTACGAACCACGAGTAAACTGGCAACATCGAACAGTAACGATGCCTGCCGCTTGTTCATCAGATGGCCATCTGATGAACGTTTTGGAGCGTCCACAAGCGTGTGGATGTACTACGAGTGAGTGCGATGGCCTCACTTGTGGTACGGTCGTTAATACGACTGCACAAAACCTTAGTGTACCAAACGGTTACACTTCGGAGCAAAGTTACGGCGGCTGTGAGGAAACACAGGCTGCGCCGAAGGTCCACCACTCGAATAAGTCGGGTGGACTGGGACAAAGATGTATCCCTAGCGGGGGACATCTAGAAGAGAAACAATCGATCGCTCAGGTCAAGCGAAACGATAATCCTGGATCAACTGGAGAGTCTTTCGTAGAGGATCTCGCTGTGGTTGCGCAACCACAGCTAGAGGAAGTAAAGGGAATAAGTCCCGATATCACAAGTACGGCGGAAATAAGTTCCCCGAAACCCGCGGGAATAAGTCCCCGGGAAGCCGAAGGAATAAGTCCTTCGAAGCCTGAGGGAATAAGTCCCCAGGAAATGACAGAGACATTGAATGTCCTAGTCAATGACGGATCAAGTGTAGGCGCTTATACACTTGATCTGACTGTGCCTCCGAAGTTGACTTCGGAGATCACTCAGTTGCCAACGCTCGAACATAAAAGGTTCTTGCGTGATCTGCGTAGTGGCAAAGTCAAGCAGATCTGCATACTCGTCGCTGACGACGAGTGTGTAACCGACATAATATCAGCAACAGTGTTTACTGAGAACGAGAGAGTTCTCAGTAGTTCATCTATGGACGAGAGTGTCCTAGATGAAAAGACACGAGTTGAGCGATATGACTCCTAATCGTGGGAATCGCTCAAGACAAATCCTCTTTTTAAAGATTTGGTTGAATTCAAGGATGTATTCCCTGAAACTGTTCTGTGCGAATTACCGAAGGATAAAGGTATTCGACACGAGGTCGAGCTTAAACCAGGCTCGAAGTACTGTGTCATGAAGCAGTGGCCACTGCCTCGTGAACAAGTACTTGCGATCGACAAGTTCTTTGCCGATCGTTTAGCTGCGGGTCATGTGAGGGAATCAACTTCCCCACATAGCTCTCCGACCTTTTGTGTGCGAAAAGCAACAGGAGGGTGGCGGATAGTGCATGCATTTAACAAGTTGAACGCTGCAACGGTACCGGCTCAGACGCCGATACCGAGGAAGGACGTAATCATTGATGGTATGTCAAAGAGTACCATCTTTTCGTCCATGGATTTGATGGATGGCTTCTATCAAATCCTTATGCGAGAACGGGATATACCCTATACCGCAGTTAGCACGCCTAGCGGCATGCTCTGGGAGTGGCTAGTAATGCCACAAGGGCTTTGTAGTGCTCCTGCCACGTTCAACAGATGTGTATCACATCTGTTGAGACCAGTGCGAGAATTCGCACCGAGTTATTTCGATGACGTATTCATCCATAGTCGGGCTGTGGATGGAAAGTCGGACGTTGAGGTTCACAGATACCACGTCCGACAGGTTATTACAATCATGCGAAAGCATCGATTGCATGCCAATCTCAAGAAGTGTATATTTGCAGCAAGCGAACTACCACTTCTTGGGTGCATAGTTGGTAAGAACGGTGTACGTCCCGATCCCGAAAAGATCAAGGCGATCACCGACTGGCCTGTGCCGGTTGATATCAAAGGTCTTCGAAAATTCCTTGGGCTAGCGGCGTATTTGCATAAGTATTCACGCAATTACGCCGAGATGACTGTGCACCTCTCTTGTTTGTTGAAAAAGAACGAGAGGTGGTTATGGAACGCTGAATGTCAGCGCTCCTTTGATGGTATCAAGCAGATCTTGATACAATCCCCAGTCATAGCAATAGCCGATCAGGACAGGCCATTTCATGTGGTCTGTGATGCCAGCGATTTCGCAATCGGCTGTGCATTAATGCAGTACGATCTTGAAGGCGTTGAACGCGTCGTCTGCTATCAGTCGCGTCAGATGCAACCAGCTGAGCGGAACTATCCAGTGCATGACAAGGAACTCCTTGCCATGAAGTATGCACTCGCGAAGTTCAGAGTCTATCTATTAGGAGATAGACCCTTCATTGTTTACACTGACCATGCGTCATTACGCACGGCAGTGAACAGCCCGCACCTTTCACAAAGAATGGCGCGGTGGTTGTCATTCTTTGCAGAATACAACTTTACGGTCGAGTACAAACCAGGACGACTTAATGTCATCGCTGATGCACTCTCACGTCGTCCCGACTTTGAAACAGTCGCGAAACCCAACAGTGAGACAGTCACTGTTGCGGTTATGACGTCCTCAGTCCCATCTACAACGTTGTATGATGATGTGAGGCGGGCATACGCCCAAGATGGTGAGATTGTGAAGTTGTTGACACATCTCTCACAGCCATCTCGAGAATCGTTGAAACGATTGTCGTCTGCGTATCGATCAGCATCAGATCGATACACTACTCGCAACGGTTTACTGTATTATACAGCCGTTTCTGGTGACACACCACGTGTTGTCATTCCAGATGATACTGATCTGCGTTTGCGGATCATGTTCGAGTATCACGACGCTCCTATAGGAGGACATCGTGGCCGGGAGAAAACATATCTCACGGTGAGTCGAGACTTTTACTGGCCCGCCAGTATCAGTTTGTGCGAAAGTATGTTCGCGCATGCGAAGTCTGCCAACGAGTGAAGTCAAGTCCTTCACTGCGTGCACCTTTACAGCCTCTACCGGTTCCGGCTGAGTGCTGGGAATCTATCTCAATGGATTTCGTCTTCGGGTTACCCAAAGACGCACGCGGGAATACGGGTATTCTCGTATTTGCTGACAGATTCAGCAAAATGGTACACCTTGTGGCTGTACCAGAGACAATCACGGCAAGTGGCTGTGCTTGTGTCTTTATTGACACCATCTTCCGACTTCATGGGTTGCCCCGTGAGCTCGTATCAGACAGAGATCCACGATTCACTGCTGATTTCTGGCGTTCCGTGTTCAAATCACTCGGAACGCGCTTGAAGATGTCGACATCTGATCATCCAGAGTCAGATGCTCAGACGGAACGTGCCAATCGTGTCCTTGAAGAGATACTTCGAGGATACGTACACTCCTTTAAGAGTTGGAGTGAGTTCTTTGCTAATGGTAGAGTTTGCCATTAACAACTCGGTGCATGCGTCCACGACACATACACCGTTTTACGTGAATGGCTTGCGCCATCCGAGTGTACCCAACTTACTAGAGTGTAACTCTGGTTTAAGGGGGGGAGGGACTCGCGCGAGCAAAAACCGATTTGGTTCACGCTCATCACGCTCTGACGAAGAGGTCATTGCGTTTGATGCCGATGTCGATAACATCGATATCGAAGAAGATGATGCCAGTGAGAGTGCGGAAGTCCTCACTGAAGAAAAGATTGATGTTGCTGCAGTGCGCTCACAGCGCACTGAAGCTAAAGAGTCATCAGATGAGTTCATACTGGCTCTTGAAACGGTAGTCCGTTTTTTGCAAGACTCCATCGCCGAAGCGGTGGTTAAGCAAAAGCAAAAAGCTGACAAGAATGGAAGGGCAAACACTCTTTTATTTAATAAAGGTGACTTAGTCCTACTGTCTACGGTTAATCTACCAAAGCATGTAGTGACTAACTTGGGTAGCAGTAAACTACTACCCAAGTACATCGGCCCATTTCGTGTATTGCACCGCCTAGGCAATGCATACACGATCGAGTTACCACGTAAGATGCGAACGCATCCCACGTTTTACGTTGGTCGGCTTAAGCCGTACCATCAGTACGCTGCTTCTTCCGATGAAGAACGCCCTTGCGCTCAAGCATCTCGCAGAGAGCCTTGTGCTCCCGATGGTGGGCATCAACAAGGGTCTGAAGAGCAGCTATCTCATCCCGAGACCGATCAACAATCCCACGAGCTACCCTTAGCTCTTCACGATGAGATGTCAGAGATCTCTCGTTCTCAAGCTGAGCAAAGGCAAACTCAGCTCGATGCTTCAAGACAGTGTCCGCCAGTTGGAGACGCCTATTCCGCTCATGTTCGAGATCGTCGCGTAACCCTTGCGTTACGCGATCAAAGAAGCTCTCGGGAACACACGGATACCCACGATTGTGTGGAGAACGTCTTTCCTCCTCCTCCACCTCCATTAGAGGACTCTCGCGGTGGCCATCGCTATCTAGTTGAGCAGCTGTTGAACCACCGCGACGTGAACGGACGTCGAACAAGTTATCTCGTCCGGTGGCGCGGCTATCCCCCGTCCTGGGATTCTTGGGAGCCCCGCTCCCAACTGATGATCGACGTACTGGGTCTGGTTGAGCAGTACGACGCGGCACATCCTGTGCCGCAGAAGGACCGCCGGAGAAAGTCTTCCCGGCACGGTCGTAAAGGGATTTCAGGTTGTCAATCCCTTCGTACATCTCAATAGAGATACGTACGCGCCACCACGGGCTATTAGGGAGGTAAGCCTCCTTAGGTGCTCGTGCAGAGTTGTTCACACAACATGGGCGCGAGTCTCCCCAAGAGAGACAGGGTAATCCTTTCTCCCTAGACAGACGATGCAGCTTGAAGCGTGCACCTGTCGGGGTTCGCTTTTCAAACTTATCACGAGCTTTGATAAGTTTGTCGTTCCAAGCGTCACGACCTACATCCTCAAGGTTATGGATGTAGTCGTTCCACGCCTGAAGCAGTGAGGGACCATCACGCTTGTGATTCCCACTGTACCATCGATTTTTAAAGAAAGCATCGATGAAGAATTCATTCTCAGCGCGATAGTTTTTCGCGCTGGGGTCAAGGTGATGGATCCTTGACGAATAGAACAATCGTGTTCGATAACGATCACTCGTCGTCGCCGACAAGTGATCCATGACAGATTTTGGAGGCATCTGTGGTAAAGCAGGCCAAGACAATTTGGGTGATCGTTGCTGCGGCAAAGCGGATCGAAGCAATGGAGGAGATCGTTGGGTGGAGTGATCGCAAATCACGACAAATCGCTGAGAAGGAATGATTGGCTGTTAAGTTGCGGGACGTCGAGATCGAAAATCACAACAGCGAGATCGATTATCACGACAACGAGATCGAATATCACAATAAGGGGCTCGAATTTCACAATAGAGGGATCGAATATAACAATAACCAGATCGAAAATCACAACTAGGCGATCGGCGATCGGGGAGATCAGCGATCGGCCAAAGTGATCGACCAAGGTGATCAGCGATCGGCCAAGGTGATCGACGATCGATCGAGTGATCGACGATCGATCGAGTGATCGACGATTGGGATGATCAGCGATCGGCCAAGGTGATCGACCAAGGTGATCGACGATCTGGATGATCAGCGATCGGTCAAGTGATCGACGATTGGGAAGATCAGCGAGCGGCCAAGGTGATCGACGAGCGATCAGGGTGTGGACCACATATGCTAAAGGACGATCAACGAAAGGTAGAAGACACATGGCGGCATATCCTGGCATACAGACAGGCATACTCGCAGTTTTTAGATTTTGGTTGGTGGACATTAAACAGAATTCTTTTTACTTCTAAGTACACGTGTCAACTTCTCTTCCGGGCTGGAATATTGGCCTCCCGACGTCAAGAAAGTTTCGTATACTTTAATCAAGTGATATCCCCAGATAATTGGCTGGGGATCAAGAACTCTCAAAACAACCCCAACTGCGATCGGACGCAGCAAGAACGTAAAGGACAAGGCGCAAGATCGCGAGACGGCTCAAGTGGTCAGAAGGCTCGCATCAAGCAACAACATATTGGACAAGGCGATCTCTTAGAGATCTAAGTGGCTTACATCAAGTAGCCTACAAGTACTACCGTGATCGCGTGAAGATTTCCGCCCGATCACAAACCCCATTCCAAACACGGTCAAGTTTTCTCTCGAAGCAAGTCCACCGAGAAGAGTGCAGCCCGCCCAACCGACGGGTACACAAGGTGAGGAAGGAAATACAAGACACGGAAACGGAGTACCCCCTCCGATAGTCGGTCGTCTGGGCACCAGTGGAGAGTCGAGATCGCCTCATAAAATGAGCGATCGCCGCTCCACCACAATGGTGCGCGTGCCCGGATTCGAACCAGGGATTTCACCGTGAGTCCCTGAGCGAAGATGAGAATGTCAAGATTGAACCTGGAACGGAAGCGTTAGAGGAAGAGGGATCGCCGCAGACGCGTGATGATAAAAGATCCCCAGATCGTCAGAGTTTTGGGAGGGGCTCTGATGACAAGAAGATTAAAGAGGAAGATCGAGCGATCGATCTGGAAGAGAAACCTCGACACCCTCCTGAGGTCCCTTCGGGGACCACCGCGGATCGTGCTGCAAGGCACAATCCGCTGGGTGAAAACCCTTCAGCGAAAACTGAACAAAAACTAAACAAGACCACTCAAGCGAAGTTAAAGAAGAAGATTGTGAAGACAGATAAAGTGAAGAAAGAAGAGACACGATCAGATCGAACTGATCGCGAAATGAAATCGATCATTCGACCAATCAAGCTCATTGATGATGACATGAAGATGGAAGGCTGGAAGTTGGACCAATCGACACAGGGATATAACTGGAAGGCACTCAAGAATCTGCTATCGAGCGATCCAGTGCTGCAGATATTGAAGCCCAAGCTGATCGGAGAAATTCAAGGTCCGATTTCCCCGCCGAAGGTGACGACAAACCCGTTGGACGGGATCAATGCGATCATTCAGCTACTACATGACGCTGGATATGTCGCTGGAGTGTTCGATGCGAACAAACTGTTGGAGTGCGATCAAGATCAGGTGATTCACACGTGTCGATTGCTATATAACAAGTTGGCTCCCCTAACGGGTAAGTGCGAACCCAACGATCAAGCAGCCGCTGCGATCGCCGATACCCCGAGAGGATATCATACTGGATCGTCGCAGTACGCCTCAGCTGAGTCTGAAATGGAATCGGATGATTCGGTCGGTATTCAGCGAATGTCTCTCGGCCCAAGTGGTGCGGCACATTTGCGTGATCAAGTCGATGCGATCAAGTGCGAACCGCGATCGGCGATCGCATGCGCTAAAGAAGAGATGACGTCAGCTAGGCAAGGACACCTACAAACATACCTGAAGGAGGCCATGGAACGTTTTTATCAAGATCAACGAGAACAAGCGTATCAAGCAATCTACCCAAGCTAAAGAATCAAGCCGGCAAGAGTCCAAGAAGTGTATATCCCAGATGTTGAGATGGAATCGGTGCGATCGCATCGCAGTCGATCTAACAATTTCGATTTCGACGATGCCGATCCCGACGATTCGGGCCAAGAAGAGCGGCGACGTGCTATGGTAGCCACCACAGAGACGTTTCAAAACGGTGATAGTATCCCTCAACGCATTCGAGTATCCGCGATGACAGAGCTGAAGGAATTCAGCGGCAAGGATCGAGATGAAGATCGAGCCAGAAGCTGGATCAGCAAAGTCAAGTCGGCATTCCTGCGCGATCAGGCGCCAGATGAAGAAAAATGTCTGGTATTTGGCGATCTGTTGACGGGACCTGCTCGTAACTGGTACAATCAACTAAGCCGATCTACACGACACAAGTGGAAGCGATTGCTAGATTGTTTTATGATACAATATGGAGGGCAAGGTGTGTCAGTGGCCAGACAGTATTATCTCGCAAGGAAGCGATCGGATGAAACCCCGTTGGAGTACCTACATCGTCTTAATGTCGCGGCCAAGCTTGCCAAGATAGCGATTAAAGAAGAAAGACTGGCTACGGCAGCCACGCGTCGCGAACATGTGGAACATTTCATCGCTACGCTGGACGACCGTGATTTGGCGAAACAGCTGACTTTGCTGAGATTGAGGGATATTGATGAGATGGAAGACACTCTCCGTGCATGCCAACGAATGGAGAATCGTCAGATAAAATCGACGATGGGATCAAACAAATTCCACCAGCGAGCGATCGCACCTACTAACCCAATGGCGTCCAAGACGACTCGGGTGATGCGATCGATACGCGAAAAAGTCGAAAGCAGCGGATCGGAATCGGAGTCGATCGGATCCGAAGAGGAAGTGGATCGTCGTCGCGTTTGTGTGACAACTACACCCGACCCAGAAAAACCAAACAAGGATCATCGCACCTGGCAGAAAAACACTGGCGAAGGAGAGGGACGCGATCAAAGTGGACGATCGAAGGAGTGCACCCATTGTGGATCTACCAGACACGATGATCAAGGGTGTTGGAAGCGATTGACGTGCCAGAAGTGTGGGCGCAAGGGACACCCTTCTGACAAATGTTTCTTTGTGTGTGCAGCCTGCGGGGAGATACACGAGAGTGGCAAGTGCCCCATGGAAGAATTCTTCAATTTGATCCGAAAGTGGTACGTGCCTACGAAGCATGCTGGGATGTTTCCACCCAAGGTGGAGGAGATGTTAAACTAGAACGCTCGCCAGGTTGGAATCTGGCACGAGCCGAGCGTTCTAGGCTTTGCATTTATGCATTTGTGGAAGGACCAAGGAGATATCAAGAGGTTAACGGTCGGATCGATCCGATCGCTAATATACATAAAGATTTAACAATGGTCTCGTCAGTGTCAAGTGTAAAAAGAGTGGATGATTACGCCCGATCGCCTGTGAGGATGGAGCTCGACCTTGCGCCAGGAGAATCGCGCGGATATTGGAAATACCACACTCCCGGAAAATGGTTCAAGCAAGCTAAAGCGATGGGCAAGATCAACAACGAGAAAGCTACGATGCTGTTCGATTCTGGCGCTGAAGTGTCGATCCTCGATACTACCTTTGCTCGTAAGGTAGGATGCGTGATCGACGACAGTCAAACTCAAGAGTGCGTTGGAATTGGAGAAAACACGTATATGACGGTAGGACGGACGAAGATCAAGATCACGTTGGACGGATCACTGGTTTATTATTTCGACGTTTGGGTAGGTGATCAAGTCGGCCAAGAAGTCATACTGGGTATGGATTTTATGGTTCCGGCGGGCATCCGTTTGGATTTAGCCGACGGGACATTATGTCTACCTGACGAAGTGCGAATTAATTTGGCAGGACGGAAGCCACCTTACCGATCGACTATACAAGCGATCAACCTGATAGATCAACACGTGGTCATACCAGTGGGCAGATCGACAGAGGTACGAATTGGAGTCGGTCCACCTAAAGCTAAACTTTGGGTGAGACGAGGCGTGGCGTGGGTGCCGACGGTCACTTGTGGACACGGCCAAATAAAGTATTTGCAGCTCACGAACCTCAGCGATCGTGAAATAATTTTAAATCACGGAGCTGCGTTGGCTTTGTGGATGACATCGAACATGATACCTAGATCACCAGGGTATGTATCGATCGGATCGAGGCGATATACAGAATGGCAAAAACTAGCGTTTGAAGCGACCACAGAACGAGAAGAAGAGACAGTGGAAGAGTATACAGGGCCGTTGGTGGATCATCCTGTGTACGAAATACCCACCAGAATTCTACCCCGCCAAACGACAGAAGTATTGAATAAGAGCATGTCGCAATCGGACCAAGAAAAAATCGACAGAAGCATGGGGCAAGATCAAGCTATGGACAGAAGACACTCGACGGAAGAAGATCAACGATTAACAAAGATAACTTCTGCGATCTACACGATTAAAGAGACTGTAAACGCCGATCGAGGACAAGATCAACCTAGCGAAACGATCGGAGATGTGAAGGAAATCGCAACGGACGAGATCAGACATGTAGAAGCTGATCTGTTTCATAAACGGTCCAGCTATCAGTCAGACGCGATCGAAATGAGAGATGGTGAATTTCAAGGACAGGCCGATCAATTAGTCGAAGACTGCAAAGTGGTGAAGATCGACACACCTGCGGACGATGAGATCGTGAGACCTCCGACAGGGATCGATGTGATCGAAACAAGGTACGAGAGTGATCGAGGTAGAGATAGACCGAGGCAGACAGGACAGAAGTCGGGCGACATTGAAGATAACAGGTATGAGGTAACAGATCCTGTCCATAAACAGTCCAGCCGTCAGCCTGACAGGATTAAGAGTGAAGATTGTGAGTTACAAGATCAGGTGGATAAACGGACGAAAAAAATGGACTGCACCAAGACCGACGAAGAGACGACGAAAGATGAGTTGGCGCCATCACCGATGTATCACCACGATGCCGGCGAACTGTTCGCAGAAGATGTGGATCAACACCTGGCTGTTCTTCCCGAAGTCGTTACGCCTACACAAGATATAACGATCGATGATATCCAAATAGGTGATCCCGGCATTCCAATAACCGAAGATCAAGAGAAATTACGACAAATGATTTGGAAGAGCCGGCACCTACTAATTGGAAAAGGCAACGCCCTACCCCCTGCGGCGCGCGGCGCAGTCTGTGACATTGATGTGGGAGGAGCTAGCCCGATCGCACAACGGGTCCGACCGGTAGCTCCAAAGTTCCGAGAAAAACTCGCTGATCTGATCAAGGGACTGCTGTCGGCCAAGATCATTCGACCATCTACATCACCATGGGCATCCCCTATCGTGGTAATCATCAAGAAAAACGGAGAAGATATAAGGCTGTGTATTGATTACAGGCGGGTGAATCAGCTGACTAGGTTGATGGTGTATCCGATGCCACTGATCAGCGAACTATTGCAAGACATGGATAAAGCTATGTGGTACTGTTCATTGGACATGGCAAGTGGTTTCTGGGTGGTGGAGATGACAGAAAGAGCAAGGTCATTCTCCGCTTTTATCACGCCATCCGGGTTGTTTAAGTGGTTACTCAAGCCTTTTGGGCTGAAGGATGCACCGCAGATCTACCAACGTCTGATCGACAACGCCCTCCATGGGTATTTGAAGATCGACCCAAAGTCGGAATCGACTGTGGTAGGGTCGCCGAAGTTGATAGATGTCTTCACCGATGGGGAACCGGATATGGGTCCAAAACCATCAGTGTTGGGTCGAAAGATCCTACATTGACGACATATTAATACCGGCTACGTCGTGGAAAGACCTGTGTGGAAAAGTGGAAAGATTGTTGGAGGTGTGCGATAAGTGGAATTTGTCGATCAGTGTGGCCAAAAGTTTTTGGGGCCGTCGCAAGGTGGAATATCTGGGGCACCAAATCTCACTCGCAGGGTTGGAAGCTAATCCAAAAAACCTGGAATCATTGGTGAACATCCCGTTCCCTCGCACACTGCGAGCGATGCAGTCATTTTTGGGAAGCCTCAACTACTACAGCAGATTCATTGAAGACTTCGCAATATACGCGTCGGTTTTGTATGAACTACGAGAGGCGGATTTTCATGAGATCAACCGTTTGAGTGAAGATCCGACGCCTATCGCAGCCGTAAGACCTGATGACGCTCGCGAAGGAAGAGTGAAGGGCGATCGTGATTTGTGTCCAAAAGCTGATATCGATCGCGATTTGTACCCAATTGTGGGGGGCGATCGTGATTTGTGTCCAAAAGCTGAGATCGATCGCGATTTGTACCCAATTGTGGGGGGCGATCGTGATTTGTGCCCAAAACCGGAGATCGATCGCGATTTGTACCCAATTGTGGGGGGCGATCGGGATTTGTGCCCAAAACTTGAGATCGATCGCGATTTGTACCCAATTGTGGGGGGCGATCGTGATTTGTGCCCAAAACCGGAGATCGATCGCGATTTGTACCCAATTGTGGGGGGCGATCGTGATTTGTGCCCAAAACCGGAGATCGATCGCGATTCGTACCCAATTGTGGGGGACGATCGAACGCCTGAGACCAGGAACCGATGGGAGAAGGCGATAATCGCATTCACATTGCTGAAAGCTAAGATAGCCACAACTCCAATCTTAAAACATTTTGATCCCGATCGGTCTCCTGTGATCGTGGTGTACGCTAGTAAGTGGGCCGTATCAGCTGCTCTACTACAAGAATATGATGGTGTGTATTGGCCTGTCACGTTCTCTAGTCGTACGCTAAAGCCCAATGAGGTCAACTACGGGATGGTGGAGAAAGAAGTGTTGGCTCTCCTCCGGATGCTAGATATCTGCTATACTATGCTAGTATCCCGTGAGATTACGGTACTTACGCGGTATTCGACACTAGCATGGTTGTTACAATCTTCAGGCCTCAATGGAAGATTGGGAAGATGGGGCTGCCTTACTATTGAACTGGACGCTGGAGATCAGACGATCTGAGAAAAGGGAAGATGAAATACTCGGTATGTTGGCTGCAAGTATAACACCTCGCGAAGAAGTAGACGAAATCTTGATTGCGATCGCCCCGAGGAAACAGCCAAGGCAGACCATAAGTATGCCACCACCCACAGTGGAAGTGAGTGAAAGCCTGCTAGTAGCCAGTTTCGATGGATCAGCCAGGGTGAAAAGAAAGGGCGGAGCATACAGCGCGATCATATGGAAACTGCCGGAATGGACGATTGTGGCCGCGGCTTCGGAGTTTGCCCCTGAACTTACTGTGAATGAAGCTGAATACCGAGGGCTGATCCTTAACTTCGATTTGCTCGCAGATCAGGCCAGGCGACGGGTGATTATCTGTGGAGATTCAAATTTGGTGATCCGTCAAATGCGAGGAGAAATAGACTGTAAAGCGCCGGGGCTGCAATTGCTGAGGCACAAGGCTATGGAGAAACTGCGATCGTGGCCTTCACACGAGTTTCTACACATGAAGCGAGATTGGAATCAGAGCGCAGATAGACTGGCGAGTGAAGCTCTACAGCAAGAGAAAGGGACAGTTGTATTTTCCGATCAAGAGCGGCAGGATTTGATTACACTCAATCGGCTAAACGAATTGCTACTACCAGAACGAGTCGGTCGTGCGGTAAAAGTGACAGCTATCACTCGATCAGCCCAGAGAAGACGTTGTCAGCCCCGAATTTTACAGGAAGAAGTTGTGCGGCAAATACGGATTGGTCGTATTGAACAAGCACAAGACGAAGAAAGCTGGATGTCGAGTCTGAAGACATATCTGGTTGGAGACATGGCTAAGCTATCGGCCGATGAGGCTAAAATGTGCGCCCTGATCGCGCCGGACTATGAAGTAGATTAGAGTGGGTTGCTATTTTTCTGTCCGCGATCGAACACCGAGGTTGACGATCGTACCGAACTGGCTCGGTTGGTGGTCCCAGAACAGTTACAGCAAGATTTCTTGCACCACTACCATACCAGTTTGGAGGGTGGTCACCAAGGAATCGGCCGTACATATCAACGGATCAGGACGAATTTCCACTGGCGTGGATTGTACCGGAGCGTGCAGCGCTATGTGGGAGAATGTGTGGATTGTGAAACAGGAAAAGGACGACCGGTGGATCGAGGTGGATCACCTGGTAATATGCAGTCGACGTACCCTTTTCCGATTATAGCTATGGATCACATCCCTTCGTTGCCAAGATCTGTTAAAGGGAACACCGAGCTGTTGCTCTGGGTCGATTTGTTCTCGGGATACGTGATCGCAAAGGCAAGCTCGTCCAGATCAGCCCAGACGATCGCCGAAAGTTATGAGGAGTGCGTGTTCAGACGATTCGGAGCGAGCGAGGCGATACGTCATGATCGTGAGCCGGGATTTATGTCTGATTTCTTCCGAGCGTTCAATCGAATCGCGAGACAAAAACAGCGAGCCACTATGGCATATAGACCGCAAGCTAACGGTACGGCCGAACGCATGGTGCAGACGCTGACTCGATCGATTAAGATGTACGTTATGGATGAAAACCAAAAGGACTGGGACGAGTACGCGAAGCGATTGACTTATGCGATCAATACCGCTCACGATTGAATCCGGGGAGATACGCCTTTCTACTTGATCCACGGTTGGGATCCAAGATCGACTTTGGAAGCGACCCTACCGTTGGGAAGCACCAAACCCCGGGATCGAGATGCGCGAAGATGGAGATATGGTATACAACGTCAATACTAACGTGCTCGAACAGTAGTGAATGGACGACTGAAGGATGCGATCAGAGGCCGAGCCGATCGACATAACGAAGACAGAGAGTTGCGGGATATCGATCGTGGGTCACGAGTGTGGTTATATCTGGACCGAGTTAAGGAAGGATACGCACGAAAATTGGCCCATATGTGGCATGGACCTTTTCGAGTGGCTGAGAAGTGCGGCGATCATGCAGTAAAGTTGGACATCGCAGGCACGCCGTACAGACTATTCCCAATAGTCCACGCATCTAACCTGAAGCTAGTTCGCGTATTCCCGGAACGTCCAACAGGCAGTTTGATTGTGGAGGAGGCAAGTCGATTGGATTTTGATGAAGCACTGCTGCCGGAAGATAGCTGGGAGGGTAACCTAGAAGCGGACGAGTTTGAAATCGACAAGATCGTTGATGTGCGCTCGGGACGGAAGACGAGATATGGCCGAATCCATAAGCAGTACCTAGTACAGTGGAAGGAATACGACGATCCAACCTGGATTGATGAAGCTGATTTAAACTGTGGAGCTCTGTTACAGGATTTCGATCGCGATCGGGTTAGCAGGAATCGTTTCGAGGCAATGCAATCACACGAAGAAGAAGCCCGAGAATAGCGATGAACAGAAAGCTGGAGTGGAATGGGTCTATGCAGAGACGTTGCATGGACGAGGAGAGAATTTGGGGTGCAAGGAGGTTGCACATGGAGATGGAAGGGGATTTATGTAATGTGAGTATAACGATCGCAGATCTAATGGTGCGATCACGATGATTAGAAACGAGGAAGAAACAAGAATTATGGGAGCGATCGAATGGAAATGAGAAGAAAGTATATTGAGAGATCGCGTTATGGAACAAACCAAAGAGATTACTCGCGATCGAAGAATTTACCAATCAAGCGAGGAAGTGACGACCCAGGGTGAGCTGCGATCGAAGGACGAAACTGGGTCCTCCAACGCTCGGTGGCATGATCGATCGACAAAGCAGTGATCAAGTTAGGTATGTTGGTCCGGTTCGCAGAAAGGCCGGGATACCACACTCTAGCCTCATTCGGACGTGGAAAGTGCAAGAACATGGGGTCCAATAAAATGTCCAAATCGCAGAGACCGTCGATAATGCCTTGAAGAATCAGCTGCAGTACTCGTTTCCAACGGGGCCCAGCGCGAGATCGTCTCTGCCTTCTTGCACGCGCAAATGCTTCCAATCCAGGGTCCGTTATACGTTGCTCAGGAGATATCCACAAGAAATGGGTTGATTCCCACAGAGCTTGGCGATGACTATCCACAAAGCGGCTATAGGCTTCGGCCAATTTTTCGAACCAGCCGGAAGTTTCGAAGGAGATCGGGGGTATGACTTGATCATAAATGTCCCACGATTGTTGATCGTAAAATTGATCAATCTTGGCCGACGTGATCAAATGGGATGACCAAGACGACTCCGGAGGAGGGTGAGCTTTGCCTAGCCGGACTGGAAAGATGTACCCTTTCGGTTTGGAAAAGTGGCGATAGAACAAATCTGTGTCCAACTCGGATACGCTGATCAAGCTCACTCTTCGGGCGGACCAAGGGAACACATCAACCGCCGATCGTGAAAACCGATCGCGATACCCCGGAATCCAACGATCGCGGGGTATGCGGGTGTCGGAAAGCGCCACGAAATCTGCAGGTGTCAACAAGGAATTCCGGGGACACCGAGGATCACCAGAGAGACTGAGATCGCTTTCGGAGTCGCTGGAAGGCTCTCCGAATAAATCCACCAAAGACACTCCCGATGTATTATCGTGAGGTTCATGTTCCGGACTGGAGGAATCGACATTCACCGGTGGAGGGGTCGGAGTAGACGATGGTTTCTTAGGGGACGACGTGTTTTTACGACGGGCAGTCGAACGAGATGACGACAACGCCGCCAACAAGGAATCATCGGTCTCATCGGAAGAAGAGTCCTTTGGATCGCTGTCCTCAGATGATTCCGACGATGACGATCTTGAACCAAACGGATCGGGAGAAGCCGATCGACGTGGCGAGGATCCGATATATCGGGCACGCTTGGCTTGGGATTCCCTGGACGGGGAAGCAGGAGGCGATCGCTTAGGTTGACGTGGAAAATTCTTTGGGGAAGACTCGACAGGTGCAGGCAGAACACTTGGAGAAACACTGGCGACCATCTCTGTCAAGCGAGCGAAGAGCGAATTTTTCGACTGGAGTGCCTGATCACGCTCTACCTCCAATGCACTTATTTTCTGGGACAATCGGCCACGATCGGCATCTCGATCGGCGAGCTCAGACTTAAGCCGATCGTGCTGACTCTTGAGATCCGAAAGTTGGGCCGTGAGGCGATCGCGCTCAGTCTTGACTGTACCCAAGTCTCGTTGGGTCATGGCCAACTCCCGCATTATCGCTGATTGGCGGGTAGCAAATCGAGTCTTCGCCTCTTCGATCTGGAGTTTCGCCCGGTCGTCAGCCTCCTTGGAGGATGCAATCGCTGATTGTAACTCGTTTTCAAGTGAAGCCAGTTGACGCCGATGCTTCTCTTGTTCGGCATGGCGGGTCTTTTTAAGCTGCAAGATGGAAGACTTCAGGATCGGAATTTCCTGTAGACGTTCCGCTTGAACAGCCAATTCCTCTTGGAAGTCATCGTTCTTCTTCTCGGCATCGGCCAACGAGTTACGCAACGCGTTGTACCGCTCGTTCACATATTGCCGGATCGGTCTTGCTAATTCTTGAACGTCGTGCAGTTGGCGTTCCAAGCGAGCGCCGCGAATTTCCTGAGCTCTCAACTGATCGTGTATTGCACAATAGCTGGCTAGCTGGTCTTGGCCAGCCTCAGCGCAGTCGTACAGATCGTTGATATACGATTGTAAAGTGTGCCGATCGATCGCAGGAAGGACGTTCACGCGACCACTCGGGAACGACGACGAAGAACGCAAAGGGATCGCAGCTGGTGGCGAGGAGCTTGGAATTTCCACCGGATCCGGGCGAGCGATCAACCGATCGTTAGAGTCGTCCATGAAGAATAACGCGTATAGCCGGAAATATGGATATGGAGATTACTTCAGACGAGTGCACAGATATACCAACACTGAATGTCGGCTATCAGTTCAGGGGACGGCTGTGGTAAAGCAGGCCAAGACAATTTGGGCGATCGTTGCTGCGGCAAAGCGGATCGAAACAATGGAGGAGATCGTTGGGTGGAGTGATCGCAAATCACGACAAATCGCTGAGAAGGAATGATTGGCTGTTAAGTTGCGGGACGTCGAGATCGAAAATCACAACAGCGAGATCGATTATCACGACAACGAGATCGAATATCACAATAAGGGGATCGAATTTCACAATAGAGGGATCGAATATAACAATAACCACATCGAAAATCACAACTAGGCGATCGGCGATCGGGGAGATCAGCGATCGGCCAAAGTGATCGACCAAGGTGATCGACGAAGGTGATCAGCGATCGGCCAAGGTGATCGACGATCGATCAGTGATCACGATCGATCAGTGATCGACGATTGGGATGATCAGCGATCCAAGTGATCGACCAAGGTGATCGACGATCTGGATGATCAGCGATCGGTCAAGTGATCGACGATTGGGAAGATCAGCGAGCGGCCAAGGTGATCGACGAGCGATCAGGGTGTGGACCACATATGCTAAAGGACGATCAACGAAAGGTAGAAGACACATGGCGGTATATCCTGGCATACAGACAGGCATACTCGCAGTTTTTAGATTTTGGTTGGTGGACATTAAACAGAATTCTTTTTACTTCTAAGTACACGTGTCAACTTCTCTTCCGGGCTGGAATATTGGCCTCCCGACGTCAAGAAAGTTTCGTATACTTTAATCAAGTGATATCCCCAGATAATTGGCTGGGGATCAAGAACTCTCAAAACAACCCCAACTGCGATCGGACGCAGCAAGAACGTAAAGGACAAGGCGCAAGATCGCGAGACGGCTCAAGTGGTCAGAAGGCTCGCATCAAGCAACAACATATTGGACAAGGCGATCTCTTAGAGATCTAAGTGGCTTACATCAAGTAGCCTACAAGTACTACCGTGATCGCGTGAAGATTTCCGCCCGATCACAAACCCCATTCCAAACACGGTCAAGTTTTCTCTCGAAGCAAGTCCACCGAGAAGAGTGCAGCCCGCCCTACCGACGGGTACACAAGGTGAGGAAGGAAATACAAGACACGGAAACGGAGTACCCCCTCCGATAGTCGGTCGTCTGGGCACCAGTGGAGAGTCGAGATCGCCTCATAAAATGAGCGATCGCCGCTCCACCACACATCCATGCCTTCTTCTCGGGAGCGAGACGCAAGACATTGCGATCCCGCTCTTCCTGCGATGTGCCGACAGAAGTACTGGCACCTCGTTGCGAAGTGGTGTCCATAGGAGAACCGACACCACTGTTAGCGCCCGAGTCTCGCGACCTCGAGCGCCTACGCTTCGGCGATGGTTCATCTGATTCATCAGATGAACCAAAGATGCTACGACGCAAAGCATCATCCATGCTACGCTTGGCAGGCGGCTTGGATTCGATCGCCGTCGATACGGATCCGTCTTCCGTATCAGGAGAGTGTGAGACACCGAGCTCGTACTCCGTGAAGACATGAGTGTCTTCATGACCAGCGCCTGCATCACCAAGTGACACAGGCTGGGTCGCTTCAGCAACCGATGAGACATCAGTTGCTGTGGTTTCTGCTTCGGCGTCCGCACAGAGACGTGCGGACGCGCTCTCGGCGGCCTTGCTCGCGCATCGCATGGGCTTGTTTACCATGCGATGAGATGTTGGGAAGTGGACGCGGACCAACAAGTGCAAACCCTGTCCCAAATGATTTGGGACGAGTATCCATTTAGTCAATCAGTCACTAAAGTGACTGATGGTTAAGGGGGGGGTTATGTAACGGGGTGAATCGTTACATAACAATTTATAAGAAATTGTTAATAGAATATAACTATAAGATTTTATTCCCAGATTATTGTCATAAGGACAAATGTTCTGCAGCACTTACGAGTAGTTCCTGATTGGTTGATAAAGGCCGTTATATCAACCAACGAAGACGCGCCACGACAGACGCACGCAATGAGTGGTAAGCAGATAGTTGATATGCACATTTGTATTTAGACATAGTTAGATGAGGATAAATTGTGATTTATTAACAGAAATTAACTATTATAAATACAGTTCTACTTTTTACTTTAACCAAGTACTCGCTTCTTCTTACCGTCTTCCTCTGCACGTACGAGTGTACGTGAAGTTACGAGGCACCGCCTTATTCTGTCATCAGAATAAGCAGCTTGTACTGTCACCAGTACAAGCTTCAGGGTGCCCCGTTACACCTGTTGTTGAGACGCGCCCACTTCTTTAGAGGTAGCGCGCTCAGAATTAGTCACTTCGCTCGTAGACGCAGGCGACAAGGCATGAACTTCACTTGCAAGAAGCATGGAAGCTCCCTCAAGGTTAGGTGCCTCAAGTGGTGGCGAGATATGTCCCATCAACGCACATTGCTCATCACCACTTTGCGGTGATGGCAGTGGCGTGGTCTCATTGTAGTCCACAATGACAGACAATTTTCATCATCCACATTATAGTGAGATGAAAGGTTGCTCCTAGCACCTGGGGTACTTTGCGATGGCTGCGAATCATCGCGGCGCGTGCGCTTAGTACTAGACTACATGTGCGCCTTTTCAGATGACCCATTAGCCTTACCACGTTTCGGTGGCATGAGAACTCGTGTGGACTGAGCGGCGCGTATGTGTATGACTCGCTGTCCCTCTGTCTCCTAGGCGATATTATACAAAATGTAAAAAATGTTCTTATAGGGGGGATAGTGTAACAGGGTAAAATATATATGTTACACGTACCCATTTTATAGTGCATATTTAATGCGTAAGCTCAAAGTAAACGTAATTACTTTGGAGCTGCCACTTGGGTGAGACACACAAATGTGACCCACCCTCGAGAATGTGATATCCATTGCTGAATTCACATGAGAAGGAAAATGACGCTAGTTGAAGCTAGGCATCATGACGTCGACGACGGACGTCATTAGCGAGGCTAAATTATTTAACCTCAGCACGCAAGGATACGCTTCTAAAGAGTCGCGTATCCGATCTTTTTATATGAACCAATCAGTGGTTAGTTTATATTTAATTCATTAAACATAACTCAGTCTTGAATTTGCTAACTAAAGAACACTGCGCACGCAGAAGCTGAATAAGCTTCTGGTGTCGTAAGTATCTTCTTACTTACAAGTTCGTTGCGCTCTCGCTTTACGCGAGCGGCAACTGGTGGTGCGACCGCTTAAGCGGTCGACCAGCCAATCCCCACCACCACACGCGAAAGGTAGACGGTTTAACCGCTTCCTCGCTGTGCTTAGGTGCGTGTGCCGTGGTAGTACGTGGCAGCTGTATAAGCGCCCGTCTGCACACAGAGACACGTACATACACAGAAAGTAGCTACTGGAAATTCGAGTATCGCCTTACGTACAGTCGCTCATAGTTTCGCCCTTCGTACTCACCATAAAAGTGTTGGTTCAGTTAGTTAAAGCAGTGTACTACACAAATAGAGTGCACTCCAAGTCACGCTGTGCTCGCGACGACTTGGCGCACCCCAGTGAGTCAAGCCGTGTCCATTTTGTCAGACGAAGAGAGCTCCGCGTTGCTCAGCATTCCGGATTAGGTGTATCGAATTCACCTTCCGACGTTCGTCCGATACATTGGGCTACGGTGGCGCAGGAATGCGTATTGATACATCAGACTAAATGGTCGTCGATATAGCTGCGATCGCTGTTAAACTCTAGAATTGCACCTGAACAGTTGAGATGATCTGATCAACACGTCACTCTGCAAGACCTAAGACCACGCGCGGTTGTGCTGGTGTAAACATAATTCGGACTCGAAATGTATATCGATATGCGCTCCGCAAGCTGCTAGCTCTTTTCACATCAATAAATAACCTCTTGTTATCTAGCCTTGGATCAATGCAGCGTTGTCTCTTCACAGCTCCGCATGGTATCGTGCCTGCGTCGCAATATAAGTGAAAAATATGATGATTGGTTCCGAAACCCGACTACGCAGTCAATACCAAGGGTACCACTTGATACATGGTAAAGCTGTATGCAGCTCTGTCCTTATGTATGTACTGGTACGTCGCTCATCTCGAGTTCTCATCATGGACTTACCAGCCGTGACAATACTGAAAAAAGGTTCTCATCGACATACTAGCGAAAGTATGGTCTACAGTTTAATGCAGGAATGGTCGTGACGTGTGTCTGCTCTTTAGCCATGCGTTGAGTTATAGCAGAACAACATCGACCACCATATTAAATGGCAGGTTAACATTCACAAGTTCAAAAGTGGCCGGGATGGGAAGGATACGCTTCTGGAACTACCAGTTAAGACCAAGGATTGTTTTTCACACTTTGGTATCGTCGAGTTAGAAACGAGCGCCAGACAAGTCGATATCCACGTAACGAAGCTGGCGTTCAATCAATTTGCGAAGCACGTTAATCTTTTCAGGCACAAGCCCGATAATGTCATCAATACACGTAGCAAGCTTGTTGCAATCACAAACTTTGCGGTAGTGCCATGATATTTCTATTGGTACTATTAGCATCCGACGTGATGGAGACATAGGTGTCAAGTGGGGCAGACGGCATCTACAACTGCTGTGAACGCACACACTCCAGACTTGATTGCATTGTGTCTGAGTCAGCCGAGAAGTCAATCGAATAAAAGGTGGCATCGACAAGATCGTACCTCATGCTCAGCGAAACTTCAACGGCGATCGTCGGAAACAGGAAGCGCTGGATTATATAACAACATACTGCAATTAAACCTTACACGACAGCACGTGACAGATGATGTCTCCTCTTTCACACGTTCTCGTGCGCACCCGAAGGTCCACAGCCAGTAGTAGCGAACTTATGATGTTGGGCATCAAAGTCGTGCACGGGTGGCATCGCGGAGAAGGCCGGGTGCTTCGAGATGACAAAGAAGTTGAACAGCGCGTTGAGAAACAACAACAGAGCGTCGAGAATCGTGAGCCAGAAGTTGCCCATCGAAAGCGGCCAGATCGCAATGCTATCAAAACAGCAACACCACCAACAACATCACCGAAATATTAAATCGATGCATATTAACCACTCGATTTCAGTGCAACAGCAAGAAAAAGCACCATCCAACTTACAAGACGAGGAACAACGTGCGCGTCTTGTTGCCATACATAAAGCCAAAGTTGGTGCGCAGAACGACGTCAATCTTCTCGGTACGCAGCTCAAAGGCCAGCAGCAGCGCCCCAAACAATCTGAGACCACCAGAAACAGCACCCGCATTGGTCAGTTTAACCCCTTCTTCTTCTCTCTCTTTGTTCACAGTTATGACACTCTCTCGTTGCGTGTCTCGTACATGATGTAGATCCCTGCAATGACCTTCTGGAAAGTATCCACTTGACCACAAATCCATGCTAACACGCCTACCGTTATGGTGAGTGAGGCCAGTACCAGATTTAGAAGACGCATGAATTTGACGATGGTCTGACTGTTACTAGATTTGATCTGGTTACTAATCTCGTCCATGAGGTTCGAGTGAGGCGGTCCGGGTAAAGCAGCGGAAGCTAGCGGCGTTTGGTACGCGGGTGACGCGCTGTCTACAGGAGGCATAGGGGAAACGTTCATGGAGTGGCCAATAGATGTTGGTGGCGTGCGTGCGACGGACGCGTCTTGGAACGGGCGGCTGCTGGGGTGCATGGAACGACGAGCGACGGTAATTAGACGCGTTCAGATTATGCGACGTTGGTGGTAATGTAGACAAGAGGATGAATGGCTTCTTCTTGCTGGGCTAGTTTTAGAAGAAGCCACCCTCTTCTTAATTTGAGCTTTTTTAATTATAACGCTTTTGTCAGGTCTTGAATCGACGGAGTGCGTGTCAATTGTCGAAATGTATTGGGCAGATGCTGTCGTCCTAGCAGCGGCTCTTGTATCAGGCTGCAGCGCGTTCTTTTTGACCTCATTTGGTCGATCGAAGATAACACGTTTGTCGTAGGTATTGTAAGGAAGACGTTCTTTGGGATGCAACTCATGACTAAGCCTCGCGTCTCGTCGTCGGAAAAGTATTCGAGTTGTAGGTGACATGGAGAGCACGTCGTGCTGACAGCAAGAAGAGTACCAGAGTCTGCGTTCGCCATCGTGGGGCTTATAGTCCCGATGGCAGTTGTAAAGACGTAGCACTGGTGCCAATGACACTCGAACAGCGAGCCACTCAAGTAATGCGACGATCTTGGGTACAGGTCCCACAATGATGTTTGATGGCAGCAGTAACAGAAGGCCCGCCCAACGTGAATGAACAAGTGTGATGAATAGCAGTGTGCTAGTCGGTAGCAAAAGCATCACTTGTGCCTTCGTCGTGAGCCCGTCTGCCGGTCCAGGTTGATCGCATTTGCCATCGTTGTCCGTCCAACCCCCTACCTGCGTCGATGATATACGCTGCCTGCAAAAACATACGTGATGCTTTGCTTAGTGGATCCATGACCCGATCCGCCAACCCAAAGGTGGGCATCGGATGATAATGACTTCCTTGTGAAAATAGGAGATCTCGTACCAAGTGGACGGTGCGTCAATTGTTATCGTGTTGATAAATCCACAAATGGATAAAGTCGGTCATCAAAAACCACCGCCGATAGCGTTACGTAGACCTTGCTGTCATTCCCACGTCCAGCAGCAGCTTATCACATCAGCAGCTCAAAACTGCTTAGCTTTCCCACTCCGTCCGTGCGCAGATGAAATGTAACCTGCATCATTCAGTTTACAACTCGTCGCTCAATCCTGCTCTTACAGTATTTCTTATCCCTATCGCAATATTCCAATCCTGAGATCCAGCTGCCACTCCGTTATCCCGGATGTAGCCATCTTACCGAATAGCTCCATCCATGTCGCACATGTCAAACCACCGCCCCATCAGCGCACGAAACCCAGTCAAACGTAACCCACATCATGCCGGACGCGTTGCTCCACGACGTCCTCCAGTCGTCGTCTGCAGCTTCGAAACGCAGCAAGTTGGAGCGCAAGAAAGCGCGACTCAATCGCCGCAAAATCGCTGCGGCAGCCGAGCGAGATGCGCGCGCGAGAGAAGCCGAGGCGGCGCGTGTCGCAGCCATTAGCTGCAGTCGCTTGCGCCGTCTCCCGCCTTGGCTGCCCGCGCTTCCGTCGACCAACGATCAAGATGCTGCGGTGCTAAGGCAACTCAATGACGCCTCGTCTCCAGTGGCTGTTCGTGTAGGGGAAGAGATGATGCGCTATTGCGCCTATACGGACCTCGTGGTGGACGCTGCACGCCATTACATCGACACGGCTATTGCCCACATTGCCGACGGGGTGCGCAAAATCTGGCCACACGCGTCTGTCACGTGCTTTGGCTCGTACTCTACGGGCTTGTGGCTGCCGTCGAGTGACGTGGATGTAGTTGTGATGGGGCTGTCGAACGCGACGGACCAAGACGTGCCAACGCGGTTCGTGCCTGACGGAGTGAAAGAGCTTGAGCGACTGGCAAACCAACTACGTCCGCAGAAAACGTGGGTGCAACGCGTGGATGTGGTACGTGGAGCCAAAGTGCCGGTGGCGAAGTTGAGCTTACGACGCGGGAGTCAGAGGGAAGGCGAGAGCTTGGTATTGTTGCGGGTAGATATCTCGATTGAGAACGTCCAGACATGTCAGGGAATGGAGGCGAGCAAGTTAGTGCGACGATATGTCACTGACTTGCCCCGATTGAAACCACTGCTTATGGTGCTGCGGCAAATGCTGAGGGAAAAGGCACTGAATAGTGCGTACACTGGAGGATTGAGCTCATACGCGGTGACGCTGCTGGCTGTGTTTATGATTGAAGCTCGGATGCATCAGGAGTCTGAAAGCGAAGACGAAGACACAGCTTGGAAGCGGAATGAAAAGGTTGAGAACGAGACGCTTAGAGAACGGGAAGCACGGGAACTTGGTTGCCTGCTGCTTGGATTTCTGGAGTACTACGGCACATCGTTTGACTACTACACGACGGGACTTTCACTCAAGCCCGAGGCGTTTGGCGCGTATCCACTTGCAGCACATTTGTCGTTTGCCAATGGCTTACCACTCATGCCGCAACTCATTATTGACGACCCTGTATACAAGAATGGACAGCACAATGCTGCTGCGGGGGCGTTTGCACTCGCCCGTGTAGTAGCCGCGTTCGAGAATAGCTATTTCGCGTTGCGGTATCACCGGCCCACTCAGTTTACGCCGACTCCGTTGTGTCAACTGCTTCACTGGTCAGGCCACAACGTAAATAATCCTTCTGTCACGCTGCCCACGTCGAAGCAGTAAAGCTGGAGCAGCACTTTTGAAGCAGAAGTCGACGAAAGGGAACAGCAAATAGAATGTGACTGTAGCGTGCGGCGACAACAGCCATGCCCATCTATTTGAGCAGCCAAAACAACTATCAGTAGTAGTACGTAGCTATCTATAGGCAATAGACGACAAAGATCAAAGTCTGTCCATCATCAATGAGTCGGTCCGAATCGGTTCGACCTGGCACACGAGATTGCGCACAACACGTGATACAACTGGTGTCTAATTGCTGATCTCCTCCACATCAACAACAGCATGCTGTTCTTCAAGAAGCTGCTGTTGGCGCTCGATTTCATCGTAATCAATGTTGGCCAGGACGTAAATGATCAGCAGTGAAACGACCGTCATCTTGAACAGCTGGCGCACGTCCTTGAAGGTCAGCGCGCGCATTGACGCCATGAATATCTTGGGCGCGAACACCAGCAAGCATATCTGATCCCATGCAAAAGCACCCAGTACTTCGAGAGTGAGCAGTCCAGTAAGGATACGCGAGAAGCGCGGGTCAGGCATAGGCACAATCTGTAGCACTTTGTTGAACACAGGCATGCGCTCCGTGCACAGCAAAAACACGCCAACGATACTGATGCCGAGCGAGTAAAGAAGTCCCGGGTTCTCTGTCATGGGTTTCATAAATGGCCGACCCTTGTAATTTACAGCGCACACGCTCACTGTCTGCACGCCATTGATCAAGAAGATGACCGTACTTAGAACACTGGGCTGATATTCACCAGGCTTCGAGCGCGCCATATCGCCTTCGGGTGTGTACTCCTTCGCAAGATTCGTGAGGTAGATCATGCAGCCAAGGTGAAGCGCAAACTGGCCAGCGAGACTTGAGAAGAGCGCCGGGTGAAAAATGGACGTCAGCGGACGCATAGGTGACAAATTGTCCAGCGGGGTCGCGCGACTCAAAGTGATACTAGCCACCGTGGAAATCATGCCCAGCGCCATCATCTGTGAGTTGGCCCACTTGACCTTGTCAAGATAAAGCACTGACAGCGAGTACGAGCTAATAAGGCAGTTCACAGCCAGAATCTGGTACATTTGCATAGTTGTCACGAGCGCACAACGGCCTTGGCGAATAATGTCGACACAGCCTTTAATCGATGGAGCGCGCGACGTGAAAGGGGACGCGATTGACGCGTCACCAAGCTTCACCATCGGCACCTCACCATCGTCAAAGTCGTCCATATACTGTGCCATAGCAGCATTGTTTGCAAAATTTGCAAACCCCTTCGACCCTGTGCGTTCCAATTGTAGCTTCTTCTTTTCTTCGGCTTCACGCTTGGCAAATGCTGCGATAGCCTTCATCCGCGCAAACGACTCGCCACGGGCCTGGCGCGCACGCACGTCAGCCTCCAGCAATTCCTGCTTTTTCTTCATCTCAGCCATTTGCTCCTCTTTACTAAGAACCTTCAGCTTCGGATTCTTGTTCACCAAAGCCTGCTGCTTCTTCTTGATAGTTTCCATCGTCTTCTTCTTCTGCTCACTAAGAATAAGCTCGACATAGTCTTGCTTCACCTTGCAATGCGATGTGTTCACATTTTGCTGAACCAGTCGCTTCTTCAACGCTGACACATGCAGCTTCATCAGGTCTTCGCGCGTACTCACAGTGGCTGCATTACCTTTCTGGTATTTTGCCAGACCCGTCACACTCTTGTCAGCATTCGCACTTCCGAACCCACCGAGCAAAGCCACGCCAATATGCGCCTGCTTTAGTGCCCCCACATCGTTACCACCGTCACCACACATAAGGGTATGATGACCGTGCACCTTTAGGAAAGTGAGCACCTTTTCCTTCAGTTCAGGCGTCATTCGAGCGTAAACACGAATATGGCTCAGGTTTTTCCAGATCAAATCGTCTACCTCGCCTGCAGCAATGAGCGTCTTGCCGTTTACACACAAATCGTACTTCTTAACCAAGACCTTAACATCACCACTCTTATATGGCGCTATAACTGAGTCGTCATCAGCACTCGTCCACTTCAGAGGGTCGCTAGGCGACGAGCTCTCACTTAAAATAAGCGCAGGTCGAGTGATTATGCCCACTTCCTTCGACACGTGAACAGCCGTCAGCGTTGCATCGCCGGTGATCATTGAAACCAGGTGCGAACTCTCTTTTAGCACCTTCAAAATACTTCCACTGTCCTTACGAACTAGACACTGAAACACTGCAAAACCAGCAAAGTTTAATTCGCTTTCGGCCCAAGCGCGAGACTGTTGGGCGACCTCAGTCTCGGACGGACGCCCGTTGATATCCTTGTAAGCGAGAGCAAGCACGCGCATCCCACGGCGGGCAAGACTTTGATATGTCGGCCAGTACCAATCCGGTATGCAATCAGGCCGCATCAACGTTGCGACTGCTTCAGGACTCCCCTTTACAAGTGAGCGCACCTGCACACCCTTGTCGCCTAAATTCACCCTGGCAACTACGCTCATTCGCTGCAGCTTGGATGCAAAGTGGTTGCGGTGCATGATTTGCACAGAAACCTCTTTCTGGTTAATGCCATGGCCCCAGCGACGCTCACTCGCACGCTCCATATCTTTCTTTGCTTGACACTGACGAGTAACCGCATCGTACGAAAAGTCGATGGCACGGATCGATGCCTCTTCCACCGGATCGCCAACCATCTTGCCGTCAATCTGAACCAGCGACTGGCAGCCAGCAAGTACTAACGTAGCGTCAAGTTAGCCGCAATCATTGGCACGTGACCAAGCACCTTGTCCTTCAAAACAGCAGCAGTAGGGGTGATGGCATCTTCGCAAACCACGCCAACCGCTGTCAGTTGGTCCGTGGTGAGAGTGCCTGTCTTATCAAATAAGCAAATATCCACCTTGCCAGCTAAGGAGATCCGGAAAGGCTCGGTACAAAAAATTGATAGCTTCACCAGATTCAGCAGGGCCGAGTTCACTGCCATTGCTGTTTGCATAGGTAGTTCAGCCGGAATAACACTAGTGATAATGAGCACACACCGCAACAGCAGCTCGAACGTGATCTTTCCTTTCTGTGCGATACCGTGGCGCAGCACATACCCAGAGGAGAGCAACGCAAAAATCAAAAGTAAAAATGCGAGGCCATAAGCATCCCACGAGCTCCCTGTCACCTTGCCACTTGAGTACTCGATCATGCGTACCAGCTTGCCCTGTGAAGAGCTAAATCCCGTCCGCAACACATAAGCAGTGCAGCCTTTGTCAGGTGCGTGTGGGATTTGCTGACTCATGACCCCAGGCTGACCTTCGCTGGAAGTGCCTGCCTGCATCACAGTAGTTCCACCAAAAAGTACGTGAACTTTATGACCTGACTTCATGTCGAGCTGCTCCGCGAGGTCTTCAGGACTCATCTTTGTGCCTATAGCCTCTTTCATCTGTGGCACACTCTCGCCCGTCAAGGTAGCTTCATTAAGAACCGCTGATCCGTCCAGCAGCAAGCAATCACAAGGCACCATGTTGTCATTGTCACCGTCAGTCTCGCGTTTTACCGAAATAACATCACCAGGCACCAGCAGATCCGAATTCAGCTTTTTCCAAGTCTTTCCACGGTAAACGTACACCTCACGCGCTTTATTACCCATACCGCGTAGCGTCTGTAGGTTTTTTAGACGACTCATCACCGTAACGCCTTCGAACATGAGGATCATGCCCAACGTGAACAGTGAGTACTGCCAGTACTCGTCAAGCATGTAGAGGCAGACGCTAAAGATCTGAAAAACGGTAAGCGGCTCGATCAACTGCTGCTTGAACATGTCCACGAAATTGGGTTGCGGGATGCTGAACTCATTTTTGCCATACAAATCCAGCTGCAACTCGGCATCCCGATCTGAGTTGAGACCACGCGAATCCAGATAGAACTTCACCACTTCAGTAGTACGAGCCTTCACTTTTCGAAAGAGCACGGCACCCTTGTCACCCGATTCTTCTTCCGCAACGTACTTGTGCTTCTGGAAGTGAAAGTACGGGCGTCCTGCCAACGTACCGTCTGCCTGCTTAGGCCGCGTGATCTCAATAATGCTGCTCTTGCCCTTGAAAGAGCGTGGCACTACCATTACATACGTTGCGTCCTCAAAACAGGTCACTGGCGCGTACTTGATAAAAGACTTGACACGCACAGACCAAATCTGAAACAGAACTAAGAGGCCGTGGGTCATGATCGTTCCGAGAAGATACAGCAACGGCACAACAGCAGGTAAAAAAGGGTTGGGCAATGGCGGGCCATCCTCGTCTTGCTCGGTATAGTTGACCGAGAGCTCAGCTGCGCTGTCACGCACAGCTCCATGAGCCAATATGGCAGCAGCCAGGCCTCCGTCGTCCCCCGTTCCAGTGACACCCCCAGCCGTCATGACTTCCGATTGCTCTCGTTCCTTCATAGCTTGAGCATACGGCTCACCGATCGTCAGGAAGCAGTGGTAGAGCGAGAACGCGTACATAAGGACAAAGAAAAGGTGCTCGAGTCCGTAACCAGATTGGACAACGCTGGCGCGACGTCGGTGCAGAGATAGCGACCGAATCGCGCGTCCTGTCCATTGCGGCGGCGAGTTGGGTTTCCCCATGCTGCTTGACGTTTGCTGTAGCAGTGGAAGTAGACACACACACACAAAGACGAGGTGGGGGCAGCAGTTCGTGTGAGAGACCGACCGATTGATCGAAAAATGCGGTCTTGGCTCACCCACGTGGCGACACGAATTGTGTGGCTGACATGACTAGGGATGTCAATCACGGGCACAGGAAAGTAGCGTCTTGATTTTAGCCAATTGGGGTGGAGAATGTGGAGAATCAGATGGAGCCAGTGAGTTTCGAAAAGGTAGATTTGAGTAAAACCGCTTTTAAATGGTGGTACGTTTTTGTCGGCGGTAAAAGCAGGAGAACGTCGTGCTTAATGTGCAAATTGAGACAAGAGTAGCGAAATGGGGATCGAACGGTGGCGGTAGCCCATTTTCGGAGCTAATCATCGGAGTGCATCGTTCGGTCTCGGTACGGATGGATATTTTGCAACTAGTGAACACTTGAACTTTTGGGCGAGAAAAAAGGCGCTCAGAGATCACGCGTCTTCTCGTTTTCTTCCCCAAATGTAGTGCACTCGCATCTCTAGCTCCGACCTGCATGTCACACTTGCAAAGCCGGCGGAAGAGGCAACTGGAATCGATATCGTCACCACCGAGTGTTCTAGGTGCGAAAGGTCGGCAAAGCCCGATAGTTTGCGAGCTAGGTCTCCGCAACACTGTAGTAAACGTGAACCCCATACCATAGATCTACTTGCACGGGTATGACGTGTTTGTGGAAAGTCGTATGCGGGACGAATCTTGAGTCAATTTGCTAACAAGAAAGAGCACATCCACCTGGTCACCCAGCCAAACAATGGAAAATGGTGTGCAGTGGTTCACGAATCGCAGGGTGCAAAAAGCAACACCGACTTGAACTGCTCAAACGCTTGGCTACCAGACGTCAGTTACCGAATTGTAGTGGGATGATAACCAGGCGGACGCCATTTGTGGACCCGACATTGTTCAGCACCAGCGGCAGCTTCACGACAGTTTTAGAATGGGCGCACGTGGCTGTTTGTTAACAGTGTTGACGCGCTACGGTGTGGACCAAAAGATGACTAGCAACTCACGTTTGTGCTGATCAGCTTGTGGACGAAGGCCGATTGCTTTCGGCTTTTGCCATTAGTTTTCATCATCACACGCTAGGCAAGTCCGAACACGAACGTAAGAATCGAGGTGCAGAATGGAAATAGTGACTGCGTGGTGGAAATGAACGTGTGAAGAGCTGAGTGTGCAGTGAATCTACGACGTAGAAGACGAACGATCTGATGACCGAACACGTTGATCCTGGTGCGTTTGAAGCTTTACATGAGCGAGATCACGAGTGGATGACACAGCAAAAATGGATATCTTGGCTGCCTCGGATCCACCAACGCTGCGATGGCGCCGTGCGAACTTTAATCCACGAGATGACGCGGCAATTTGACCTCATCCGTTGCGTTCATTCGAGATTACGGGCTACAGTCACACCATGTGTAGCCAAGATAAACGAATCTTGGGAAACTAACGAAATACCTGTACATTCCACGCTAAAACTACGACACACGCATGACCGACAAAGACAGCGGTCGACCCTCCTTTGAAATCGTCCGGAGCGATAGGTATCATTTACACCTTCAGCCCGTGGAAACTCCAGACTTCGACGGTCTCGCATCGGAACGTATGGTAGTCGACAAGCGGTGGAGAGTCGAACGTAGAACAGGCGTGCGTAAATCCACGTCGGTCATCAAGCTGTAAACAGAGCGCGATCCCTTTGCTACCCCCACCGACAAATATGGAGTCGCGTTGGGTGTACATGAAAGAACTGTCGATCCCCGACCATGGGTATACGCGCATGCGGGGACTCAGGGAAAAGACGAAGGTTCGTCCGTTACCGAAGAACATTTTTGAGCGCCTCCACGACGCAGAGCAAAAAGCACCAAAGACGTTTTCATGCTCATCCTGTACAACAACGATGGTTGGACCCTTGTTCTCGAGTCTCGAGAAGAAAGTCAAGAAACTCCAGCCATGCACTTGAGTGGTAAAGATCAACTCCATCTGGTTGCACGTAAGACACTTTGGCAGACTTTTCCAAAGAAACTGCATGTGTTTCTCCGTTAAGAACGTCGAGCGATGGCCTGCTAAAGGCCGTCCTTCCGCATGGCTGTCGCTTCCAGCCCATAGCGTGAACCGATCCAGTGCTCCAATCTTTGCTGCAAATGCTTTAAACTCCTTCGCGCGTTCCTTGTCCGTATTGTCAGGTTCCTGTGCGTTTTTCGTCAAGAAGTTCTCTGTAGATACTGGTTCAACAAAACTTTGAGATACGAGAGAAGCAGACTGACAGCTTTGGCTGGCGTTCGCCATCGGTATCCTCTTTTTGTACTCAGCCGACGGAGGAAACATGGAGCTTGCAACCGACTGCGACGACAGGTTCTTTCTCGTGTCAAGACGTTTAGCCAAGTACTTTCGATACGTCACAGGTCGGCGGAAACGCAACGTCACAGGAGCCTGCAACTCCGCGATGGTATCGATCACGTCGTCAGACGCTAACCGGGAAATCGACGGGTAGCCGTTGATGGCCATGACCACATCGCCCACTTGCACCATAGGAGCGTGTTGCTCGGGGTCGTACACTTCAACCGTCCCGTAAAGCCTTGTCGACGGTGCCAACCTCAAATGTAATGGGGTCTCGTCGAACGTGACATCAAACTCACCCAGCTCCGACACATCGGGTCCCACCACTTCGTTTCCACCTCCAGCCGCGCCGCTCACTATCACGACACTTTCAGGTTCCTCGATGGTCATTGCATCACCTGCTTCTCCTACCGAAATGGTTCTGCCACTTGCATCGGAATCCCTTCTCACCAACAGCGCTCGAGCCAAATCGCGTGATGACTCTCGCTTTGCCAGCTCAGCATTGAATGCCAGGTCGTGCTCCAACGACCGGCGCCACTGCTCAGCCGAAGCCCTAGCCACCACTTTGGTCGAATAACAATGAAGAGAGTAGTCGATCGACGACGGGTACATGGCCGTGGACATAACACGCGAGTCGTGTGATCCAAAGACTTCCGGGTCCCTAAACGTCATGACAATAGGACAAGCGCATTGTCGCAAGTACGCAGCCAATTCCGCGCGCGGCAGCTGCGCTTTCTGACAGCTAAAGTTGATGGCAATCAACACGTGGCCCTTGCCAATCGTCTCTCCGTCTCGGTCGTGCCCGTCCTTGACTCTGGACGACGACGCCATGTCCTCGTCCTCCATCTCTGTCTCCTGCACTGAGCTCACCTCCCACGAGCCATAGAGCTGCGAGCTGGGCACGAGTCCGACACCCAGTGGCTTGCGGTGGAAACACACGTTGTACTCGCCTTCAAAGCGCTTGGGCACGTACGACGTCTCGCTCTCTGGCTCATTCACACAGCTACGGCATCGATTGTCGTCGTCGCGTACCTTCGTATAACTTGGCGTGCTGCTCGAGGGCAACGGGCGCTGGTCCTCAAACATAGCGCGCACGAGTCCGCGCATGGTCAACATGGCACTGGAGCTCTAAATGTCCGTTGATAATGTCAAGCTCGAGATGTTTTTTTCCTCGTCTCACACGCGAAACAAAAGATAAAGTGGCGAGCAAGTCGTTTTTGTAGGGGAGGCCAGCGGATAAAACGACATTCGTGATAGGGGATTCATCCGTTACTTCCACGCGAAACGTAATCTCGTTGTATTGGTCAATTTGACAAGCACTTGCACGGCCATTGACAACGTTTCAATGCCACTGTTGAGATCCGAGAGTAAACGTGGGCATGGAAAGCAAGGCGAAGCAAATGCTAGAGCAAGTAAGACTATATAAAGTGGGGTGTTAGAATGACGGTTTAACGTTCGCAACTACACGGTACGCAGCAGTAAAAGCGTGAAAAAACAACGCTGCAGAATGAAAGGTGGCTTCTGTGGAATAAGCACTCGAACTCGCCAGTTGTCTCAGGTTTGACCGTTGCTGAAGTTGAACATTACCACCACTACTCGGGATTGACTGCAGAATTCGTCAAACGTACGACGACGACGACAATAACCATACTCTATCGAATGACCTCACTTTCTTCCGATGTTTTCCAGCATACCCAGGAATTTCTCTGACATCCTACATACCCAGCACTTTGTCTGGTACAGATTAACGTATCACGACACCCAGCACGTTCCCATGATCGGGAACTGCTGTCTTCACTAAACTAGTTCTCTGATTACATCATGAGCGTATGAATATCCTGCGACATGTTAACAACCGCTGCTGTGTCATGTAACTAGCGACCGGCACGGAAACTTGCCCGAGCGTGATCGAGACTGTTTTCTTATCGTCATATCGTATACACATCCATTTTCTACGATTACAATACCCAAACACATCGCGCTCGCTACAGAGCTCGACGACATCCAAAGGATAGCACAGCAACCTCGGTCGACGCAGATGCGATCGAGACGCCCATATCGTAGAGCTCATTGTCCTTTAAAAAGTAAAAGGAACGGATACGCCATGCCTGACCTGGTATTAGCGCCAGACGAGTGAGGATTGTGTGTGACTTCTCGCTCAAGTGTTCCGAATGGGCGTACAAATTCAAGAGCAGGCAAACACACTGCATGCGTACTCATTCAATGCGACTCTCGGGCCTATCTCCTGGTCTGGCGTTTGCACCTCCTCCATTCGTCTTTTAATATGACAAAGAAGGTATTCGTACAGCCGGATCGCATCGTCTTTGCTTCTGATCTTCTCATTGAGGTTGTTGATTCACATGGACCAAAGTGCATTGATGGTCAAACAGTCATTTCGCAACACATTATCTCTAGGTAGTAATGGCTATATTATTCTAAGGCATCGGGCCTGTTTATAGTGTGTCCGGTGCCAAGGTGGAACACTCCGGATTCGTACGTGGCTTCTAAATCCAAGTTGATCGAGATGCGCTGGAAGCGATACCGTTTGATCGAGCTAGCGGTCACTAAAAGTTACTACGAATGGATACCGTACAAACTGCAAACACACGTCGAGCGGGTATCTACGAGCACACAGTACCGACCTTAACATCTACAATCGGAGAATATCACGCTACACTAAGTGCACCAGTAGAAGATCTTGATCCTGTGCTCTGCGGTACACTTCAAAAAACTAATCTCACTCACGATCAATACATCTTGCAGAACGAGCTTGCAATGTGCTATCACTAAGAATCGCGGTGTCAGCGTTGATCTGGACGAATGCTGGGACCACGACTACGTCTTTTGGGCGGAGCTTACTTCTTCATACAGATTCAAAGATGATGGGGCCACTGACTCATACTGCAGTAAGATCGAGTAAAAAGGGAACGGTCTTGACTTCGTATCATCCATGACTGTTAGATAGGTACCCGTTCGGTTCGGCGAAAACCTTGGCAAGAATAAGCAACTCTATGGAGGTTTCTTAATCATCCTTGTCACGAAAGACAGAAGCGATTACGAGCTTTAAATGTGGAAAGTATAGTTATAGAGTAACTACAAAGCATACGCGCATCGGTGACGATCATGTCCGACACGTTGCGCCAGTATTGACTCAGCTGTACAATATGGACGCTGTTTCCACTCGGGCTTTCGATCGCGACCCTGCAAGTCGTTCTGAATTACGAACCGAACCAACTTTTGGCTCTGGGTCTGTGTTATGTATGCATCAAGAGAGATTCTTCGAATGCACGGAACAAATCGACCCCTGTCTACCACCACCGGCATCCCCTAAACTCTCAGAATTTTCCCATCTTGACACGCTTGTAAGCGGTACCATTGCGATATGTTCGAAGACAAAATGCATGACCGCGTGATTCTCGAGAGTCCAAGTTACATGGCTTCAGGGGGGCATTTATGAAGGATCACCAAATTTTAGGAATCATGCAAGTGCGTACCACGTCAGATAAAAACAAATTATCTTGTAAACTGCCTCGATACGTAACTAAATCCATTCATCGCGACATGCGTACTTAAAACAAGATGGATGTGAACCACACACAAAACTCCTATTTTTGTCGTTTGACTTGACTTGAGTATGCTGGAATGTTCGAGAATGGATACGATAATCCCACTTCGGGTAAGACAAAGTGGAATTTGACTGGGGCTCGCAGCGCTAGGCGACAGGAGGCTCTGCGACACAGTCAGAGCAGACAGACAGACAGGTAGGTAATCAACCTGCCCATACCGATCCATCGTCCATACAGCCAGCATCGCAGTCACTTTGACGGACGGAAGCGCAGAGGAGTTCAAGTCGCAGGGCAATGAGCTGTACAAACGCGGGGACTACCAGCGCGCCATTGATAAGTACTCACAAGCCATCGACGCCGCACCCACCGTCGTGGCCTATTACGGCATTTACCGCGCCGCTGCTTCGGTTCATGCTGGGCAAGCACAAGGACGTGGGTGATGGACTGCAATCGCGCCATCGTGTTTGACCCGATGTATATGAAGGGGATACGTGCGCAAAGCCAAGGCGCAGCTCGCAATGGTGCGGAATATCTGGATATTTGAAAATCATCCCATGACAAGGATCTGGTGGTGGATTTTATCCAATTTTTCGAAGCTGATGACATTGCATGTGAATGGGTTTTTGTTATTGCTACTTAGGGTGACAATGAAGCCGCTTTGAAGACGTATCAGACGGGATTGATCCGCGACCCGAATAACAGCACGCTGCTGAGCGAGAAGCGCACGCTAGAGATGGCACTGAGTCAGGTGCAACGTGGCAAAGAGCACCTTGCAGCAGTACGGGCTGGTTTCGATTGGAACTGCAGTGCGATCATGTTTTTTGTACAGAGTTTTTACAGTTGGTGTTGTTATTGTGGGGTTATGTGCAGGGCAGTTCTCACAGGCAGTGGCCATGTTTGACAGTGCCGCACAGGTGTGCACAGGCTCTAGTAAGATCAAGCTCCTACGTGGCGAGGCGCTGATCGGTTGCGAACGCTACGATGAAGCTTTTGCAGTGCTCACACAGCTCATGCGCACAGACTCGAGTAGTCCCGAGCTGCTGTTTTTGAGGGCACGCTGTTTGTACTACCAGGGCGAGTTCCCGAGTGCAATTAAGCACTTGCAGCAGGCGCTGCGGTCGGATCCGGACAACAGCAAGTGTATGAAGGAGATCAAGCGGATTCGCAGTTTAGAGACGTGCAAAGAGGAAGCAAACAATGCTTTCAAAGCTGGCAA